GAATTCAGAGCCGGGAGCAGAATTCAGAAGACTGCAGAACTTACCCATGTTTTTCAAAATCAAAGATTGGTGAATATTTTATTCTTTCTGTCCTAGTGCCAGTGGGACAGGTGGAAGGAAGGTGGGATAATGGGAGAAGAAAGAACTGGATAAACTCAATGATGGGATGATCTGCCCTGGAAAGTGTTTGTTTCTCCCAGACTTGCAGCCATGGTATATAACATATATAACATTCCATGTGGATTTTGAACCATAATAGGGATGGGGAAGATCAGCCTGAAAGCCAAAGAGATTCCCTGATTGTGTGTTGAGCTTGAGAATTATGCTCAAGGTTTGCAGATGCCCAGCTCTCTTCCTGACAACCTATAGAGAGCCAGGCTTCATCTCTTATGGTTAAATGGAGCTTCTCTTGCCCAGGAAAATACAGTTGCTGGGAGAATGGATTTGCATTTTATACCTCTGAAATCCTTTTACAATTCCTGAGTACCAGAGATAACTAAACTGCTTTGAGAAACTAGTAATATTGATTGCCTCTGGGGAGTGGAACCCCTGGTGGCTAAGGGTGACAGGTGGCTAGAAACAAACAAAAAAGATGGCATTTCCCCATGTTCCCCCACCCCACTTCTTGAGGATAGGAAAGCAATCTGGGGCCAGGGATGGAGTAATTTCTTTACTCAAGACTATAGGGCCAGGAATTCCCTGGTAGTCCAGTGGTTAGGACTCTGTACTCTCATTGCCAAGGGCCCAGGTTCAAACCCTACTGGGGAACTAAGATCCCACAAGCCACATGGCATGGCCAAAAACAAACCAACAACAACAACAACAAAAGACTATAGGGCTGAACTAGGGAGCCAAAGAGGGATCTAAAAATTAGAAGAGAGAAGAGCTGCAGTTGAGTGGAAAATCAAGATCAAAAGGGGAATTCAAGGTCAGCATACCAAAGAGGTCAAAAGCAGCAACTGGAAGGTGTGGTCCAGAATTTGAAAACAAAGCCCAGGGAAGCAGAGGAGCATGAGTAGACTGGAGAATGAACTGAGCAATATCTGAGGAAAGTTAAGGCCAAGGGCCCGGGGCTTGATGATGGGTGGATCCCTGAGATTATAAAATCAAAAGCTCAAGGGACCTAGGCAGCAAGGTGCAGGCCAGGCAAAATTCTTGTCAGAAATAAAACAGGTTTGACAGGTGGACACAAAAGGGGTACTGTTACATGAGAACTCTCTTGTCTGGGGATACTCCTTAGAGATTATGCTCTAAAATGGGGTGTAGAGATCCTGAGAAGCCATATGTGAATGATTTGGTGTGCATGAGTATTTTTATTTCCCTCCAAACTTGACACTTTCTAGAGTGTATTATGATCTTATTATTTTCTGAGAGACCTTGCAAAAGGGTAATGGGTTCACGTGATATAGTTCAACCTTACTACTGCCTATGACATGATCTAAAGTAAGGTAGGTAATAAGTAAGTCTTTCTCATTACAGCTACTTGAAACAATTTGAATTCACCCTCCTGATTACCTGCTTCTGGTTGCCAGCTGTGGGGTTTTTTTCCTAGAAGTGCAGTGTCCTTGTTGGAAAGGCCTTATGGGGAGCCCAGGGCTTTATCTGATGTAGGAAGATGTAATGATCCTGAGATGAAATGCCTAGAAACTGCTCTGCAGGCAGGTGTCTGTGAGCTGTTGCTTAGAGTTTTCCCGAAAAATATCTTTTATTTGCAAGATAAGGTCTAGTTTTCAGGGTGCTTCAAAACTGACAGGTTGTAAACTTATAATTTTTTGAAGGTGAGAGTGCAAGAACTAAAAACAACTGTGTTGAATAAATGTTGTGCCTCTACCATCAACCAGTATTGTTTACTAACTTACCAGTTAAATAATAGGAGCTATTATATGTAAAAATCCTTGGGTTAAAACATAGACATTGGCCAATTCTGTGAAATGCTGTTACTAACCATCCCCACCTCTACCCAACACACACACACACACACACACACACACACACACATACACACACACCCCTCCACCAGGCATTCTGAGATGTTTCCAGTCTATGTGTTATTTCTTGGAATCCATTTGGGAAAAGTTCCACTTCATAAATCCTGGCAGAGAGCCAGGAAGAGATAAAGGCGTCTAAAACTAGTAAAGACTGCTTTTTTTTTAAGGGTTTGATGAGAAAATTAGATAATCAAATAAGTGGGCTATTACAAACTTGCCTACAGACTCAGGGGGAAGCAATTTATAAACTATTAGAACAGAGATTGGGGTGGAGGACAGGAAGCAAATTATCTCAAATTGTTCATCTTCTGCACAACATTATTATCTTCCTCTTTAGACCTTGCTATTTCAGCCAATAGTGTCCTCATTTTCCTACTGACAAGAGGTTTGAAGCCTCATCCTGTTCTACTTGCATGGAAATGTGCCTAATTTCCTAAGGATCCAGCCCAGGAACCACCTCATGCATGAAGTCCACCCAGTCCTTGGTGATCTTATTTCATAACCTCACATTGTCCATGCTCAGCAGTGTTCTAAACACTGCAGGTGCTCAAAAAAAAAATACCTGACAATGTTGGTATTAGTTACTAAAAATAGCTGATATGTGGGAATCAGCACAGAGGCAAGACTGCCTGAATTCAAGGTCCAGAGTGTTACTTTTTCTTTCTCTGTACACATCATAGCCTGGACCTGAATCCTCTGGTTTAGATTATATTTTTCAGGACTAGATCCTCCTTCTCCATGAGACAAGATACACCCAAATTAAGTGCGTGGAGGGGAATCCAAACCACAAGACTAGAATGAAACAAACCTAGCTCTTCTGTGAGGGGTAGGTCTGTGAGAAGGTCAGGATGGGAGGCTAACCCCTGAGTTCTGAGGGGCTCCCTCTGAGTCATTTGAACTGGACAGGCCCTTAGCATTGCTCCATATGTCAGCATGCCACTGCCTTCTGTACCATACCTCAGGCCCTGACTGTGAAGCAAGTTGGAACTGTAGGCCTTCTTTTGGAGTCCTCCCAGCAGAGTATGCCTCCCTGGGCACAGAGAGAGAGAGAGAGAGACTCCAAGAGGTCATGCTCCCGCCTTTCATTTGTATGATCCCAAGGCAGAATACTGAGAACAAAGGAAGAGGACAGCCACATCAAGCTAAGGTCTGGTCAGTGAAGAAAAAACTTGTTAAGGGGGGGAAAAAAAAGATCAAGCACAATCAAGTACCAGAAGTCAATAGCCAAAAGTTCTTCGAAGTTGTGGAGAAACAGCAACGAAGCTGGCCCAATAGTTCAGTAAAGAGTAACTAGCAGAAATATGACATACAGAGAGGAGTAGTAAAGAAGCTGAAAATAGATGAGCATCAAATGAAGGTGCCTAACTGCTAGGCAGCTTTCCAGTTTGGGTTCAGCCACCCCACATTCTTTTCACCACAGTGTGAACCAATCCTGAGCTGTCCTGCTGGGAAGGCTGGTTGAAGACAAGTTTGCAGCAGCTGGCTGGCAGGGGAACGGATTTTGGGGATGAGATACAGGCAGAGGCATTTCCCCACCAGCTTCTCACTGGAGATGACTGCATGCTTCAGAACTCCTTACCTTTCTCCTCACACATGAGCTGCTTTTCCTAGTTTCCTTTGAAAGATCAGAGCAAAAGTGAAGTTTTCGGGGTTTAGGCTCATCCTTCAAAATACCTGATATAACTTTTGCAGATACTTTCCTCATATTCAAGTTTTCTTTCAGAATGAGCCTAACAGTTTCTTTATCTAAATTTAACTCTTCGGCCATCATCCTCACGGTTAACTGCCTATTCGAACAGACCAAGTCCTTGACTTTCTTGATATTTTCATCCGTCCGGTGGGTGACAGGACGACCACTTCTGGCATCATCTCGAATATCTTCGCGTCCTTCTTTAAACCTTTTGTGCCAGTCGAAAACTCTGGCCCTTGACATGACTTCATTCCCGTAAGCCTCTTTTAAAAGATGGTGAGTTTCACTTGCAGACTTGTTCAGTTTCACGCAAAATTTGATGCTAATCCTTTGTTCTAGATATCGGTCACTCATTTTGGGGCTTAAGCAACACAAGAACGTTAAAACGCCACAACTGTGAAGGAAAGACGGAGGGATAAATCTCTATAGGGGTGCAGGTGAAATCATGCCGCTATTCTTGCTCCTCTGGAAGTCTCATGAGGTAAAAGAGTAATTGCTTTTCTGAATTTTAGCCCCTGGGGCTTCCAATCTAGAAGCTAACGGGGCCACAGTGTAGCTGCAAAACTGGGTAAAATGAAATCTCCTACAACCCACGTCTGCGTCCAACTCGGGCACGAAGATCTGATGGGCGTGTGCAAATCAGTCACCAAGATCGTCCCGTTGCCTGCGGCTCTGAAGAGTCTAAGGCAATTTCTGCAGTAGAAGCCTACGTGGTGGCAATTTAAACAAGCAAGAAACGACGCATCGGTGTTGTAACGTGCAGGCTCGCTCCAGATCCGCGGAAACCCGCGCACGCCAAACCTACCGGAGCTGCAGAGGGCTTGGAGCCTCTAAGAGTCCCTGGAGGCACGCCCACATGCGCCATTCCCTCCCTTCGCGGGTAGGCCGCGCGCAGGCGCACTGCGGCAGCCTGCCCAGGCCCCGCCTCTGCCTCGCCACACCCGAGCGGGCGCGCTTCCTTGCGCGTACCCGCCCGCGGAGGAGAAGGCGGAAAGGAGGGGGCGGGGAAGGAAGGCTGAGGGAAGAGAGGGCACCCCCGGGCGCCAGGGTGCATTGTGGGAAGGAGGCGGCAGCGTCCCGGGCGGGCGGGAGGTGCACCAGCGGCGGCGGCGGCGGTAAATCCTCCCGGCCGCTCACAGCACTGTGGAGCCGCGTCCCCAGCCCGGCCTCGGACCGCGGCGCCCCTCCTGCCCCTCGCGGCTTCTCGCCCGCCCCTCCCCCCCAGCGAACCGGCCCTGACGAGCCGGCCGGCCGGCCTGGCTCCCCTCCCCGGCCCCGACGGGCGGGCGGGCTGCCCTGAGGAGGCGGGGAGGGGAGGGCTGGGTCGGCCGGCGGGCAGACAACGATGCCGAACTTCTGCGCGGCCCCCAACTGCACGCGGAAGAGCACGCAGTCGGACCTGGCCTTCTTCAGGTTCCCGCGGGATCCGGCCAGATGCCAGAAGTGGGTGGAGAACTGTAGGAGGGCAGACTTAGAAGATAAAACACCTGATCAGCTAAACAAACATTATCGACTGTGCGCCAAACATAGAGCACGCAGTCGGACCTGGCCTTCTTCAGGTTCCCGCGGGATCCGGCCAGGTGAGCGGCGGGCGCCGAGCTGGCAGTGCGGGCCCTCCTCCGCGGTCCGCGCTGCCAACCGCCGGCCCTGGGCAGGCTCCGGGGCTGAGGGGCGTGGGGGGCACAATTGTCGACCCCAACCCGGCTCCGAGGTGGGGAGCGGGCCTCGAGCTGTGGGCGGGCGGGCGCGCGGGGGCCTCGGAGCACGTGCGTCCGCGGGGGCTCTGCGTGTTGGGCACCACCTGAAATAAGAGGCAACTGGGCGACACGAGTGGGTAAGGTAGGTTCTTGCCCTTTTTCGCTTGCTGTGTGACCTCAGACAAGCCGCTTTCCTCTCTGGGCTTAGTTAACCTAGCTGTCAAAAGAGGGACCTGGAATCTGGTTGTGGTCTCCGGGGCCCTTTTACCCCCGGGACAGTGTTTCTTTTTGGAGTCTGACCACCTTTGATCTCCAGTCACAACTGCTCCCTCCTTCGGACTTGCTCATGGTTCAAATTCTGTTTCTGACCGTTACTCATTATCTCACTTGGTTAATGTGGGGATAACGGGCGTGGGAGAGGACGGGGTACGCGGGAGGGCTTGGTAGTTGTTACTGAAACGTCTTCCTTAAGGTAACCCACCCGCTGTCACTTGTATTTAGAGAGTGATAGAGTAGGGGCTGTATTTGAAAGTCTGAGGATTTTTCTTGGCATGTCTTGTTGATTCATTCATTTCCGGTCAGTACCTACTGTGTGTGTGTCAGGGCACTAACGTTAGAGGTCCCCGAAATTCAGAATTTATGAGACAGCGTTCCTGCCTGCAGAAAGCTTACAATACATTTAAGGAGGTAGATATATAAATAGGCGATTATAATATAGCATGCTGTTCTACAAATATTTATAGAATGCCTACTATGTACTAGGCATTGTTCTGAGCATTGGGAGAGAATAGATAAAACGAAATCTCTGTTCTCATGGAGTTTACATTCTAGTGGGGAAAATTAAGTAGATACACCGTCTATCAGATGCTGATGAATCAGTTCAGTTCAGTCGCTCAGTAGTGTCCGACTCTTTGTGATCCCATGAACTGCAGCACGCCAGGCCTCCCTGTCCATCACCAACTNACATGACCACTGGAAAAACCATAGCCTTGACTAGATGGACCTTTGTTGACAACGTAATGTCTCTGCTTTTTATTATGCTTCCTAGGTTGGTCATAATATTATGGATAAAAAGCAAATCTTTGACGGGAGAGGGCCGGGAGGGTAGCGAAATGGGAGTAGTAGGGGAGGCACAGTTGCTATTTTAAATAGGATTATCAGAGAAGGCCTCAGTAAGAGAGTCTTATTTGAGCAAAGACCTGAGGTAGGTAAGGGAGTCAGCCATGGAAGTATCCAGGGGAAGTACATTTCAGTCTGTAGAAACAGTAAATGTAAAGGCAGGGCATGCTTGTTAGAGGTACAAGCAGGAGTCCTCAAGCTGATTTAAGGAAGGTCAGTCACTCAGTGGCGTCTTGATTCTTTTCTTCACCCCATGGATTGTAGCCCGCCAGGCTTCTCTGTCCATGAAATTCTCTAGGCAAGAGTACTGGTGTGGGTTGCCATTCCCTTCTCCAGGGGGTCTTCTCTACCCAGGGATCCAACTGTGGTCTGCCCCATTGCAGGCAGATTCTTTACCTTCTGAGCCACCAGGGAAGCCCAAAGGGATGTGGAAGAGGGAGAGCCGAGACCAGAGAAATGTACCTGTGTTTGTGTTAGGTGCAAATTGTGTAGGCTGTTGTAGGCTGCGGAAAGCAGGATGGCATCCTGAGGGAAATAGGAAGTCATCAAAGGGTTTAGAAGAGAGAGACTTATACGTTTAACAGAATCACTGGCTGACTTGATGAGTACATTGTAGGGAAGCAAGGGTGAGAGCAGAAAGACCAGTTAAAGGCAGTTGCAATGATCCAGGTTTAATTGCAGTAATCCAAGTTTATAGAGGTGGAGGTGGTAAGTAGTTGTGTTTGAGGTTTATTTGGAAGGTGAGGCCAGCAGGATTTTTAATGGTGTAGATATAGGTTGTAAGAGAAAAACAGAAGTCAAGAATGACTCTAGGGTTTTTTGCCTTTAAAAAAAAAAAAATTGAAGTATAGTTTATTTCCAGTGTTGTATTATTTCTGCTATACAGCAGTGATTCAGTTATATATATATATATACACACATTCTTTTAAAAAATTTTTTCCAGTACACACATTCTTTAAAAAATTCTTTTACAGTGTGTTTTATCAAGGATATTGAATGTCATTCCCTGTGCTATACAATAGGACCTTGCTGTTTATCCATTCTATGTATAATAGTTTATATCTGCTAACCCCAAATTCCCAGTCCAACCCTCCTCCACCACCTACCCCACTGGCAACCACAGGTGTGTCCTTTATGTCTGTGAGTCTGTTTCTCTTTAGTAGATAGGTTCATTTGTGCCATGTTTTAGATCCCACATATAAGTGATATCATATGGTATTGTCTTTTTCTTTCTGACTGACTTAGTATGGTAATCTCTAAGTCCATCCATGTTGCTGCACATGACATTATTAAATTCTTTCTTATGTCTTGTGTAGTATTCCATTATAGATATGTACCTCCTTGTCTTTATCCATCTTTTGATGTACATTTAGATTGTTTGCATGTCTTGGCTATTGTGAATAGTGCTGCTATAAATATGGGGGTGCATATATCTTTTGAATTACAGTTTTGTCCAGATAAACGACCAGGAGCGGGATTGCTGGATCATACAGTAACTCTGTTTTTAGTTTTCTGAGGAACATCCCTACTGTTATAGTGGTTGCACCAACTTACATTCCCACCAACAGTGTAGCAGAGCTCTCTTTTCTCTACACCCCCTTCAGCATTTGTTATTTGTAGATTTTTTAGTGATGGCCATTCTGACTCATGTTAGGTGGTACCTTGTGATTCTGGTTTGCATTTCTCTGATGATTAGATGATTAGTGATTTTGAGTATCTTTTCATGCGCCTGTTGGCCATCTGTATGAAGAATGACTCTTAAAATTTTTAACGTGAGCCTTTTTTGAGCTATAGAAGACTGGGAAGAGCAGGTTCAGTGGAGGACTATAAAAAATTTGATTTAGGACATGTGAAGTTTGAGAGCCCTGATAGACATTCAAGAATAGATGTCTTTCTTCATACATATCCATAAATGAACTCAGAATTGTCCATATTTAGATCAATGACCTAAATACTTAAGAGCCAAAACTATTAAAAGATATACAGGTCTGGAATTTAGAGACTTCCGGACTGGAGATTGTGAATATGGGCATTCTCAGTATGGAACTGGGTAAGTGAAGTAGACTCTGTCTGAGGATTGAGCCCTGTATTCTTAGTGTTTAAAGTTCAGGGAGATAAGAAGGAACAACTAACTCAGGAGAGTGAGGAATAGCCATTGGGTTCTGTGGGAGCAGAGAAGAGGAGCATCTTAATCTGATTGGGCCTCTCTCTGTTACTTCCTTGGAGCCCAATTGAAAGTATATTTCACTTGCATAATGAAGGCACCACCAGTCAATTCTGGACCACAAGTTGTTAATCTTTATAGGTAGTGAATACTCTTTTCATTATACTCCATAGTTGGGGAGTATGGCCTGTAGGGGCTTATAGTCTCAGATTTGGAAGGAGTTTGTAGATCTAGTGCAGTATCCTTTGAAGTGTTGGAATTCCCTCAGGAGTAGTGGCTTTTAAACTTTTTTGGGTCTCTGTTCCTTTTGAGAATCTAATGTAAGGACTGTTAAAAAAAAGACATAGACATGTTTTCGTATCAAGTTATTTATGGATCCTTAAGAGGCTCTGCACATTTCTGACAGGTGGACCTTTGCTAAAACACCTCTAGTGTCAGTTCCTTTGCTTTATGAGGGGATACTTGAGGATTCTGGACAGCATTGACTATTGTTTCTTCCTTGTATTGAGTGGAAATGTGCCTCCCCCTTATAATTTATGCTTTGGAGATCCTACTTTTGTTCTCAGGTGACAGTGAACAAAGCTGTGTCCTGTTTTATCTATTTTTAATTTGTTTTTTGGCCTTGCCTTGCGACATGCAGGATCTTAGTTCCCTGACTAGGGATTGAACCTATGCTCCCTATAGTGGCAGTATAGTCTTAACCACTGGACTGTCAGGGACTGGCACTGGACTCTGCCCTGTTTTATTAGGTTGGTGAAAAAGTAACTGCAGTTTTGGACCGTGAATTTTAAATCATTATAACTAGGCTCAAATACATCTTTATTAATCAAAAGAGGAATAGTTACAATCAAAATATTTTTGCCAACAAGAAATAAGTTTGTTTATTCCTGTAGTGTAAAAAATGGTGTTTCTGGATTCGACGAACTCTTGGAGAGTATTTTCTGCCTCTTGCTGGTTGTGGAAGTGTTTTGTTTGAAAAAAAAAGTTGTCCAGATACTTGAAGAAGCAATAGTTGGTTCATGAGAGGTCAGGTGAATATGGCAGATGAGGCAAAACTTCGTAGCCCATTTCGTTCAACTTTTGAAGCATTCGTTGTGCGATGTGCTGTGGAAGAGAATTGGGCCCATTCTGTTGACCAATGCCAGTTGCAGGCATTGCAGTTTTTGGTGCATCTCACTGATTTGCTGAGCATACCTCTCAGATATAATAGTTTCACCAGGATTCAGAAAGCTATAGTGGATCAGATGGGTAGCATTAAAATGATGTATTAACCACATTTATATAAGAATGTATTCCACTCTGAAACAGCAAAGTTCAACAATGCAAGACCGCTATTACTTTTGCACCAACCGATATGTAAGAGCCCTTTGAGTATTTCATGACCAAATTATGAGCTTTTTAAAAACTCTTTTAAAAACATCTTTATTGAAATGTTCGCATACCATACAATTCAT